AGAGAGAGAGAGAGAGAGAGAGAGAGAGAGAGAGAGAGAGAGATAGTTCCTCTTCTTCCTCTTCTCAGTCCACCATCTCCCTCTCACCCTCTCGCTACCTGACTTCACTGCATCAGCAGACTACGAGAGAAGAGAGAGCTTGGTGACATTTGGATCCAGGCTCGACATTTGGGCTTCAGACATTTTGACGAGGGATTATTTGGGACTTGTAACAAAGACTTGGTGTTGACGACATTCCCATCTCTCCCCCTCTTCTTCATCTGTTCCCCTCCTCTTCGTCTCTGCATGATCTGGACCTGGCGCCTTCTTCCTGTGTATAGCGCCAGGCCCCTTCACACCTTGTGATGAGAATGATGTATGTTGGGTCTGCGTTGCAACGTTGATTGGGCTAGTCATTGGTATCCTAGCATTCTGCTGCGCTGTCTTGCACTACGTCATAGAGGTCARTCCCGGTCAGGTCAGGACTTGTATCTWAGTCTTCCACTGCGCTATAAAGCACCATTTTTGTATGTATCAGAATGTACACTGCTTGTTGAGATTTCACTTGCACTGCATTGTTCATTCAGTCCTTTTCATCACATTGCGGATCCTCGGTTTATTATGTACATCGCCCAACTGGGCATGTAACACCTGAATACTTCCTCTTTTGACTTGGGTCTACCCACCTTTGTTGGCATAATTTCCCACCATATCCGCAGCAGGGCAGTGCAATAGGGTGTGGGGGGTGTGGCTTCATGCGCCTCAGCGCCTCTTCGTTGATTCCTCCGGCCTGTGTTTGGGCTCCAATCGTTGTTCATAACCCAGAAAATTCCCGACATGTTTGCTGGAAACGTATGCACTATCTCCAGCGATCGATAGTTCTAATTTCCAATGGAAAAGGTAGGCCCCATCAGTGCTATGCCCATGCTAAGAAAGCATGCACCAGGTCATTCAAGCGGTCAGGTGCATGCTATAACTTATCACACAAACATAGCAGCAATAGGTCCTGGCCGTACCTTAGAAATCAAGGTACTGCTACCTGCCTGAAGGGCTACGGCCCATCGGTGTCATGCCTGTGCTAAGAAAGCATGCACTAGGTCATTCAACCGGTCAGGTGCATGCTATAACTTATTGGTCCTGGCCGTACCTTAGAAATCAAGGTACTGCTTGCTGCCTGAGGGCTAGGCCCCATCAGTGCTATGACTGTGCTAAGAAAGCATGGACAAGGTCATTCAAGCGATCAGGTGCATGCTATATCTTAGCTCACAAACATAGCAACAATTGTTCCTGGCCCTATCTTAGAAATCAAGGTACTGCTTCCTGCCTACGAGGCAGGGACCATCTCCATTGAGACCCCCTCATGCTGAAACCCCCCTAGAAAGGGATGCTCAGGTGGGGCCATCTCTGAGGCATCAAGGCATCCGCCCCAGATGAACTACGCACCATGCAAGGTTCTACCAACCCCCCCCCTCCCCCTTCAACCCCAACCAAAAAAAAGAAAAAAAAAAAAGAAAAAAAAAAACAGGTGTTTTGGCAGTTAGAGACCTTTAGATGAAAGAGTGGTATTTCAAGCTTGGTAGTCCCTGATGACCACCTCCCACCTATCCTACGCATGCAATCAAGGTTGTTGTTGATGCAAAGCTTATAGTGAAGGTGCAGAGAGTCTTTCTTTCTTTTTTTTTTCCTTTTCAAGACTACTTCTTTAAGCCCAACCAATTACTGTCTAGCAAACAAAAAAAAAATAATAAATAAATAAATAAATAAATAAAATGGAATTACCGTCTAGCTGCTGCCACTCCGGATCTTCATGGATAATCCAATTTCACTGAGCCCATGTTGGAGAGAGCAGGGCAGTGGATGCATCAGAGGAGGACTCAGCAGCAGCAGCAGGGTTCCTGCATGCATGAAATACATTTGTATATACCTTGGAAGATTATCACGCCTGGCTGGGACCGCCCGGCCCAGGCACCCGGGCGTGTCGCCGGGGATTCCAGGAAGGGTCTGACGCCCGGGGTACTCGCGCGCTGGAATAAGTGGGGTCATTTTTTATTATGATTATTATTATTATTTTTTTTTGGGTGGTGGGGTTTTTCTGCCCATGCTTTCAGAGGAGCCCAACTCCAGGATCCTCTTTTTTTGGAAGCGTTGGCTGTCAAGGGGGGCGGGAAGTGGGGTATAGATTGGTTTCAAAAGTGTGGCTAAGGGAGGGGGTTGAAAGGGGGGTGCCTTAGTCTCTGATTCATTGGTTTCAAAAGTGGCTAAGGGGGGGGTTGAAAGGGGGGTGCCTTAGTAGTCTGATTTTTCTGTCACTTTCTTTTCCCGGAATTTTTGATTTTTTATATTTTTTTCTGCGCTGGGGGCGGGCACCTGAGCATGTATCCTGCCACAAGTTGGCCGTCCGGGCACCCGGAAAAACTCCCTAGGTATATAATTCTTTTTCTTTCTGCTTCAAGAATAAAGAGGACCCCCCCCCCCCCACAAAAAAAAAAAAAAGGGTGAGACTCTCACTACGCTTCAGGGGTTTCCTTATGCAAATCGTACACGACAAAAAGATCGACGCTGGACCCGATTTCCAGCAGGTGCTGGTCCCCAGCGATGATGAACTCGAGCCAAGGCAAATGAGAGGTAAAGCTTTCTTATGAGGTTGATTGTATGGACATCAAAAGAGGGCTTTCCCCTCAAGGAGTCAGGGGGAATAGAAAAGGAGGGACCAAGAGGGACCAGGGGGGACCAAGGGGGAACCAACGGGGAACTGGAAGGACCAGGGCACAACTTGGAACCAGTCCCAAACCAGATAACAGAAACTTGGAGGCCCAAGTTGCCCTCGATGCGGGTAGGGTAATGGTCCCGAGTGCTGGTCACACACAGGTAGGATAGTAGCGATACGGGGTGCGCTAGGAGTATTGACGCGAGGATGGGATTGGGAGGTGGCCTCGTCTTCTCAGGACAGCCATCGCTGACCGCTCCCGGTAATCACTGTGCGCCTAGTAACTGGCCTCTACAACACCCTCGACTTAATTAAAAAAAAAAGAAAAAACACAGAAAAAAAGGAAAAGAAACTCGGCCCTCCCAGCCATAATGGGGAGGAGCGTGGCGTGAGTGAAGCCCTGTATTTTGTTCGACTTGCCGGTGCAAAAGGAACCGGACTGACACCCCCCAGAATGGATACGTAGCCAGAACCATAAGGTTCTGTTTTTTTCTTATTAACAAAAAAAAAAAACAAAAAAAAAAAAACAAGAAAGATAACAGGAACCACGGGGAAAAGAGGAGACAGCCGGCACCAACAAGCAGGGACCAGGCGAACTTAACAGAAAGCAGGGACAAGGGACCAGAGGTGAGACCAGGGGCCAGGGACCAAGGAGGACTGGAGGGACCAGAGCAGAATTCTGGAGCCAAGCAGAAACCAGGTTTGGAGAACTTTGGAAGGGTTTGTTAGGGATTTCGAGGTTTTCGGAGCATTTGTAGGACCTCCGTGGTCTATTCCCATGCCTCCCGAATTACTGCTAGTGTTCTTAGGTATCTCAAAAAGAGAACGAGGTGAGTGGGAGAAGGAGATGGTGGGATATCATGCGTTCTACTAGTGAGGGGGCTAGCTGGTAGGATGGGAATAGGGTATAGCAGCAGCGGAGATGGTGGCTCTGCTGCAGTAAATCTTGCCGGAGTGAGGTAAAGAGGATTGACAAGGGGGGTGGTTTCTGAGTGTTTTCTGAATTCTGCTTATTTCTGAAGTTTGTCGTAGTCATTTCCTAAGCAGCTCCAATTTTTTTCTGAGCCAAAGCCTGGCCCCGGTATCTCAATTTTCAAAATTCTATGTAAACTTCCATATGGGACGCTGGGCCCAGTTCCCAGCACGTGCTGCTCCCCACGAATAGACTGGAGCCTTGTTTCCCCCCACCCCAAAAAAAAAAAACAAAAAAAAAACAGGTACAACGAACCAAAAGGGGAACTGATAACAAAGCAGGGACCAGTTATCAAGGGTCAGGAGTCAGGACAGAGGAGGAACCAAACAGAAAGCAGGGAGGAGGAGAAAACGGGGACCGCAGACCAGGGAATGCAGAAGAGAGATTAGAGGAGAGAACCAGCCTCGAGAGGTAAGAAGAGAGCGCAGAAACCACGGACCGTATATTTAGAGTCTTTAGACCCATTGGAACAGAGGGGATGAAAGCCAGTCTTTCGATTCTCGCCAAACACCAACAGGTGGAAAGCATGAAGAAGCAGACACCGTGGAGGATGTCGACAACGCTAAACTCGAAGCCAGCAACCCCCCCTAAGCCCCGAAAGGCACTTAATTTAACCAGGGGGGCGAGGGGAGGAAAGAACCGAAAAAGCAAATTTTAATTTTAATTTTTTTTTATTGTTTTTGGCCCGGCCGGGCTAGTGACCCCGGGCCACTCTGGTAGCCTAGCAAAAAAGAGGAATACCCCGTCCTAAGCTTTGTTAAGGAGTGCTGACGCGGCACTGTCAGCAATGCCACGTCAGCCGGAAGCCTCTCACCACAGCTTAATGAAATCCATAAGAATTGGAATGGGACGGAGAAGGTTACCTTGGACCCCTCACACCGATGACACACCCAGATCGACATATCGCTAATGAACAGAAAAAAAAGGAAAAATTCAAAAAAAAAAGGACAAAAAAAAAGAGGAGAACCAGGGGCAGGGGTCTATTGACAGAAAAGGAATAGAGGAGAACCAGGGGCAGGGGTCAATTGATAGAAAAAGGAATAGAGGAAAACCAGGGGCAGGGGTCAGGGGGAGAGTAGGATGCTTGTTCATAGCCAAGCTGTGCATCTACTCTGTTCCAAAGGCTGCTATAACCCCAACAACGTACACCATGGAGGGCGCGGGAAGCGGAGGAGGTGGCGGGGACAACTGGAAAGAATCACACTCTGCTGCCTCACGCTTCTCTTCGTTGTCCGGGTAAATCGATCCCCACCAGCCCACGTGTCGCTAGAGTATTGAAATCAAATCCTGACCTTGCACTGAGGAGAACAGACCCTTTGTGCGTCCGATATCCTTTTGCGAAGGCCGTAGCCCCTAACATTGTGATATTCATCGGTAATCTATCTCATGAGCTGTTTCCTCTTTTTTTTTTTTT